TAGCCGGCCCCTCCTGGGCCGGTTCACGCCTAACACATTTCCAGCTTGAGTAACCTCCCTCCCTCCCTCCAAGAATTTATAAAATGACCTTTTTTTGGGTGGTTCATAGTTAATTGCTCAATTTAGGATGTATTTTTAAATGCCTTGTTTGGGGTTTTAGTACTGTTATGATGTTTGAATTTTTTTCTTATTATGCTACATGCCCTTCATGATCTTTGGTGCAAACACTTTCATGCATCCTCCTTTTTGATGCGTGGAGCAGTAATGGTAAGCTTGGAACTTGAGCTTTCAACTAATATGTGTCTTGCATTTGACATGCAAGGAGACAATGGTGAGCCCTACTATTGAATTTTCAACCAATATCCGCTTATGCATGTTGTTATCTAGTGGGCGAGAGGATCATGGAGATACATCAGAAGGATACATTATATTTTTGTTTGAATGATAACTTATAAAAAGGGCACACAACCTTAGGGGAGAGAGAAGGGGAAAGGGAGCACAACCATAAATAGTATATTGAGAGGGAAAACATTTAAAATAGGAGGGAGAGATCCTTGGTAAGCCAAGGAAAGGGGGCAGGAAAAATTTTCAAGCAATAACTTTGTATGCAATTTTCAATTGCAGTTATCTTCATCTTTCATAAGGATTTTATATATAGAGAGAGAAAAAGTGAGATTTCCATCACATGCTCAAAATATTGTTATGCCTGCAATGCTTTATGGTGCCGAATGTTGGCCTTTAAAAGAGAAGCATAATACTAAGCTAAGTGTGGCAGAGATGAGGATGCTCAGGTGGATGAGTGGCTTTACCCTTAGAGATCGGATACGAAATGAGCATATACGTGAAAAGGTTGGAGTAGCTCCAGTAGAAGATAAGATTAGAGAAAGTCGCCTTAGATGGTTTGGTCACATAAAACGGCGGCCTTGCGATGACCCGGTTAGGAGAGTAGATGTATTAGATTTGACTTATGTTAAGAAAGGTAGGGGTAGACCTAAAAAGACTTGGTTAGAAAATATTAGGAATGACCTTTCTTTATTAGATTTAAACGAGAATTTGACTTTTAATAGGACACAATGGAGAATAAGGATTCATGTAGCCGACCCCACGTAGTGGGATAAAGGCTTGATGTTGTTGTTGTTGTTGTTGTTGTTGCTCAAAATATTGTTATGCCTTCCAAACAAATTTAAATGATATAAAATATAATAAAAACTCAAATACCACTCTTATTGACCATGTATAAACATAAAATATAAAACATAATGATAATTTTTCACTCAAATAATCAGAGAATAAAATTGTACAAAGAGCCAATATTTCACTAAGTTTAAATGTCATATGAAAATTTTATTTTACTTAAACGAAGAGTTGGTCACCACTTGAATGATCAAGATGAGGATTCTATTTGTTGTTGAAGAAGGCAACAGTTAGAATGGAAAGATCATCATTGCTTTTGCACACTTCACAATGTGCACTTGCACGCCAAGCTTCTACGTTGTTGAACTAAAATAGCCTTCCTACCACAACGATACTTAAAAAAAACAATATTTGAAATACCTGCATAATGCTAATGCATGAACAACACCCTCAATGTTGAATATGTTGAGATTCTTACCTGCACTGATAGTAAAACGAAAGGTTGATCTTCTTTTATGCACGCCTCTGAAATTTGGTATGAAGAATACAATAATCAGTTTCCACCTCTTTTTTTGCAGCATGGAGACAAACACCTGAGGCTTCTCCTTCTTTTGATATTTTGTTAGAGAACCAGAGAAGAAACCCTCTCTATTGTGAATTATACTTTAACTCTTTGCCCTCTTTCACAATTTGCTCTCTTATGTGCCTAGCTATTGAATCTACTTGAAACTTACGAATTGACCATACTTATAGATGTAGATTTCATTATTTAGAAAACTGCTAATAACCCACATGTAAACTAGAATATCTTTAAAAAGAAAATTAGGATCCCTCGAGATCTCACAAAATCTCTCATCCCAAAATTTACCAATTGAAAACTCAATCAAGAATTTTGCAATAATGAGGATATCCCTTAACATATATAGAGGAATCTATTTTATGAAGGAAAATTTTAGCTCACCCTACAAATGCATCATTTGTGTTGGATCAAATATCTTGGCATATATTTTTTATAGATGAATATGTCATGAGAGGTGAAAACTCTTTTAAGGGGATTTATGATGTAGAACTACGATGATTGCAATGATGTTTTTAATGATTTTGCACAACTTCTTGATTAGAGAAATAACAAATAAAACTATTAGCAATTAAAACGATGAATCAAAACATAAGAAGGGTTACTATCGTTTAGGCTAAGTTACATAACAAAAGATTTGAAGCTTCAAAATATCGTAGGAAAATAATATCATGCCAAAGTAGTAGCTTCAACAAAATCCCTTGTCTAACAATGAGATTAGTAAACAAATGAATGCACTCAAATGGCTACATTTACTAAGCTTAGCAGAAACAGGCGATGACGTCCTTCGTGACTACAATCAAATCACAATAAAGGGTTAGACCTAAGAAATACAAGATAAGGGAAAAGTAGAACCTCCGTCAAGGATCAACGACAATCTTCCACTCGACGATCTCAAGTTGTTCTTCAATAGCTTCAACCAAGGTGTCCAAGATACGTTGGATGTAGTATTCCACTGTATTGTCGATTCTCGGGTTGACGTTGAAGAAGGTTTAGTGGAGAATGTGCACAAACCCGTGTTCGTCGTAAGCAAGTCCGTAGTCAGTGTCGAGATCGGCCATTCATGAGTGCTAGATGACAACTTCTTCCCAAAGATTGCTAGTACTCTTGAACGTTGTGAAGAGAAAGAAGTTTCTCTTCAACTTGTAGTGGGGAAGGTGACTAGGTATGGCCGACAAAGAGATGGAGGCTTAGGGAAAAATTAGGTTCAAATTTTGTGGAGGAAGAAGTGTCAATCAATCCTCTAATTAATCCTATTGCATGGAATTAATTAAGAGGGGATGGAGAGAGGTAGGGGCGGCGGCATGAGAGGGGATTAGGAGGGAAATTTGTTTCCAAATCTCAATGCTTGTTTTAGGAAAGGAGATAAGGAGGTGTGGGATTATGAGATTCGGCCAAGGAGAGATGAGGGGAATTTGAAATTATTTCCAAAGCAAAGAATTGGGTTTTAGAAAAAAAAATAAATAGGGATTAATGGGATGGGGGGCCGGCGGCATCCATAGGAGGGGATGGATTTATGGAGAGCAATTAATATTGCTTGATTTGGATTTGAGTATTTGGAAAGGGATAGTTTTTTTTTTATTTTTTATTTTATTTAGAAAGGGATAGTTAAATCCAATTTGAATTTTAAATTCAAATTGGATTCAATTACGAATCTTTCCAAAAAAGTATGATACATAAATTAGGAAACAATTCAAACTCAAATTAAATTTGGATTTGAATTAAATAAGTTTCCTAACCTAGAAAGACCCAAACGGAAAGGTTTGTCACAAGCAAGAGGGGAGACAACACATGGAGGCCAGCGGCTTGACTGGGCTTTCCGCCTGGTTTGGATGAGGTGGGGTGGAATCGGGTGAGGAGGGGAGACAAGGGAAATGATCCCAATGTCCAAAGGGGAGAAGGGCTTGATGTTGGCCGGTGGTGGAGGTGGTCGTTGAGAAAAGAGAGGAAGAAAGAGAAAAGAATTTCAAAACTAACCACGAATCCGGACTCTTCCAAGATTGGTGGGTGATCCAATTCCCTCTCATAGAGACCTCTTTCTAACCTTTCTCAAATTCTCTCAAGAAGTCAAAGCATGGGAAAAATCTTTATCATTCATTCATTAACCTCAAAAGAAAATAAGGAGGGCTATATAAAGCCTCATACAAAGAACTCAAAAATAAAAGACAACAATGCCCCTAGGGCTTACATACGACATTCCCTAATAAGAGGGTACAACGGGAAACTAAATAAAGCAAATAAAATACGACAACATAAATAAGAAAATACATAAATAAAAAATACAATGACTCAATCGTGGCCGTAGATCGGCGGCCACATCTCTGATAAACCTTCCATGATCTGATGTCCCCATCAATTTAAGCTTTAGGTGGTTTGGGCATACTGTGAGAAGGGCAAGAGATGTGTCAATAAATTTGTAGATAGAATAAACATGAAAGGAATAGGAATTAGAAGGGATAGACCATCGTAGCATAGCTACATATTATACAATAAAGGCATAACCGGAGTCAACACCTAATTAAGAGCTTAGGAATGAATTGAGAAGAATGATTCATACACCAGCATCAAAGAAGGATATTGAGGACTCAAGTCGAGTTTGAACCACTGCATGGAAGAAGAAGTATTCATACAGTAACCTTGGTTCTAGCTCAATGCGGCTAGCTAATTATCACATATTCTAGGAAAATTGAGAAATAAGCAAATTTAAAGAGTTGACAACTAATATCATAAATAATGTGAAATTAGGAAAGTGGCAGAGAGAAAAGTAGGAAGGTAGGGTTTAAGCTTATCCCATGAAATTATAAAACTTAATATATTTCTTGTATCAGTTTTTAAGGCTGGCTTACAATTAAATAAGATGAAATGAACCGAGCAGAGGAAGGTTCGAGTTTGGCTTGTTGTCTGGTAAGTTTAGCTCACTGCTCACTTCTAATTGGACTCAAGCTAGTTTACTTTGATCGATCCAGGGTTGCAGCATCTGAACCAAGAACTGAACTAAGAACACTTTTCATTTTTTTTGCTTGGATACATCGAAGCAATTGTTTCTTTGTGTTATTTTGTGTTTGTTCCACACTTATCTCTAACCATATTCCCTGTCCATCCTCTTTTCATGTTTCATTTCTTTTATTTGTCGTTACAAATGGATGGGGTCAAAAGTGAAATTAGAACACCTAGTATATATTGTTTTCCTCATTTGCTGTAGGCATTCTCATGGTGCATCTTGTTATGCTTTTAGTTTTACGCAATATGGTGTAATCACTTTCCCTATTCTATTGTTGCTCTATTTCAGCCAAAGCCTAGAATAGATTATACCTTGAAGGCTGTGGGAGGAAGTCTTACTGCTATTCCTGGGCTCTCAGACATGATAGATGTAAGTATGGCATGTTGATTTCTATATTCATCTTTATCATCATCTTACAAATTGTTCAACTTTAAATCAACCTTATTATTGCGACATGGCTACACCAGGATACTGTGCATTCGATTGTTTCGGACCAGCTTGAGTGGCCCCATAGAATTGTTGTTCCTCTCGGTGGAGTTGATGTTGATATAAGGTAAGAATTATAATTCTTTATCTTAGTTCTTCTGGCATATTAAGTTTATTTGTAAGGTTTGACCGACATAAGCTATTTTCAGTAGTTATATGATGTTGAGAGTTTGTCGTTTGAACTTAGAATGTTAGAAAGGATACAGAGATCCAATTTACTGCTTTTGTTACTCGTTTCCTATGGCATTCTGATGCGATTTGAAAGTGAAAACAGCAAAATAGAAAAGAAAAAATTGCTAGAACACAAATATTAGGGGCCTAGGGCCGATTTTTTATAACTCCTTCAAGAAATAACAAAAGATACAATTAATCTACCATTCGAGAGGTAGATCGGCTCTCCCACAAACCCTAAACACCGCTAGAAAACTCTTAAAGAAAAGCTACAGCAGAAATAACAATTGCATAATCTGAAAATAATGCATAGTTAGTCCTAAATAGGCTCCCCTACTTCCCTCTCAAATCAGCCTCCTATTCTTAGTTAATTTCCTCTCAATTTTTAACTCTTTCCCTAAATAATTCCCTCCAAATTATCATTAAAACCGTCCTTCATCTCTCCCTCTATTTCTCTTTATAATATATTTAATTAAATCTTTCTTGAGCCACACAAGAGAGGTCGAACTCCCCCCTCCCCCCCAACTAGAACTACCCAGCCCTTCTGTTGGATCCGGTTCAGAGGAACTGGGCGGAAGTCCTTTGCCCTTTTTGGGCATAAGAATCTCGACCCCCAAAGATGCATATTGTCCTTAAGGTGGAAGGATGAAAACTGTCTCCTGATCAACTCGTATAACTCCCATGTAGCTCATGCTCCAACAAATCCTTCCACTTGATTAATACTTCTTGTGGCCCTATTTCTTCTCCGCGCACACCTTCTATTCCTAGAGGTTCCAAAATGACCTCCATGTCTTCAGTCCAAGTCGGGGGTAGTGAAGATGGTGTGTGATCTCGATCTCTTATCGCCTTCCTCACTGCGAGACATGAAAGATGGGATGCAATGTTGATGAAGGGGGTAGCCTCAATTGATAGGCCACTGCTCAAATGGGCATCACAACCTCATAAGGTTTGAAGTATCGTGGGGACAATTTCTCATTCCTCCTCCTTACTAGTGTCTTTTGTCGGTAGGGCTTCAACTTTAATAACCCTATCTCCTGGCTCGAATTATACTTCTCTCCCGTGCTCATTCGCCTTTCTTTTCGTAATCTGTTGGGCTCTCAATAAATGTTTCTTGAGCTCTGATAATACCTTGTCCCTTTCCTCTAAGTACTGGTCTATTGGATACTGGTGTAGTGTTGTGTCCATAATGAATTAAATGAGGTGGGTGATGGGGACATCTGATCATGGAAGGTTTATCAGAGACGTGGCCACCGATCTACGACCACGATTGAGTCTTTGTATTTTTGATTTGTTTCATGTATTTTCTTATTTATGATGTCGTTTTGTATTTGTTTTATTTAGTTTCCCGTTGTACCCTTTTATTAAGGGATGTCATATGTAAGCCCTAAGGGCGTTGTCGTCTTTATTATTTTTTAGTCTTATGTACGAGGCTATTTATAGCCCCTATGTTTCTCTTTGAAGGTTAATGAATGATTAAATGAAAATTTTGTTTCTCTTGTTTGAATTCTCATGAGGGCTTGAGAGTTTGGAGTGAAATCCCTAGGAGAGGGAGATTTGCGCAATACCAACCAACCTAGATAAGTCGGGTTCGTGGTTCCATCATCTATCTCTTTCTCTCTTCCTCCCCCCTACCACCACCGGCCGTGCCATCTTCCCCTCCACTTAGCCGCCGGCCTTCCCCCATACCCGACCCCCACCCAAACCTCCGGCCCTAGCCCCTTGTCCACTATTGGATTTACTTCCTAATTTGGATTGCTATATTTTAGACAGATTTTGAATTCAAATTCACCCGGTTTGAAATTCAAAACCTTTTCTAAATTATAAAATCTGATTTAGGAAAGTTTCCAAATCAAAAGTTTCCAAATCCCTCAACTAATATCAAATTATTTTGGAATGAATTATTTCATCCCAAATTTAATCACCTAAATCAAGGAAGCATTAATGCCTCCTTAATTTCATCCTCCCAACCCCACAAAATCGCCGGCCCCTCTCTACCCTCCCCTCTCTCTCTCTCTCTCTCTAATCTCCCTCCCAATTTCTATTTCCTAATTTTGAATGAAATATTTGGGTAGATTTGGATTTCAATCCCACAAAATTTGAAGTTCAAATCTTTTCTAAATTCCTTGAATCTAGTTTAGGAAAGTTTCCAAATTGATTCAATTTGAATTTCAAATTAAATTGGACCTATTTAAAACTTTCCTAATCTCCAAACCTAAACTTAGAAACCCAAATCTCCATCCCATAAATCCCTCCCCTCTCATTAAAGTCGCTGGCCCCTTACTCCTACCTGCCCTCTTGCTCCTCATCCCTACTTCAAGTTGAAGAGAAACTTCTTTCTCTTCAACAACGTTCAAGAGTACTAGCAATCTTTGGGAAGACATCGTCATCTAGCATCCATGAATGGCTTAATGGTCGATCCCGACACTGACTACGGACTTGTGTACGACGAACACGGTTTCGTGCACATTCTCCATTCAACCTTCTTCAACATCAACCCAAGGATCGATCACACGGTTGAGGACTTCATAAAACGCATCTTGGACACCTTGGTTGAAGCGATTGAAGAACAACTTAAGATCGTCGAGTAGAGGATTGCTGCCGACCCTTAACGGAGGTTTTCTACTCTCCCTTTTCTCATAGTTCTTAAGTCTAACCCTTTCTTGTGATTTGATTGTAGTCATGAAGGACGCGTTCGTCCTATTCTGCTAAGCTTAGTAAACTTAGGAATTTGAGTGCATTCATTTGTTTACTAATCTTATTGTTAGACTAGGAATTTTGTTGAAAACTACTACTTTGGCATAATGTTATTTTTCTACGTTGTTTTGAGGATTCAAATCTTTTTGATGTGCAACTTAGCCTAAACGAAAGTGACCCCTCTCACATTTTGATTCGTTGTTTTATTTGCTAATAAGTTTCTTTGTTATTTTTCTAATCAAGAGTTTGTGCAAGTTCTTAATAAAATCATTTGCAAACATCGTAGTCCTACATCAATGGGTCTCTCCCATAGAATGTTGAAGGGGGTGGGCTGTGGAATGGTACGAGGTATTCTACCAATATTCGGCCCAAGAAATTTACTTGCCCAACTCTTCGACATATCTGATATGAAGCATCTCAAATAGGTATCTACACTTCTGTTGACTACGGTCTGGCCATTTGTCTAGGGATGGTATGCTGTGCTACTCTTCAGGACTGCCCCCTGTAAACGAAACAACTCCTTCCAAAAATGGCTAAAGAACACATTATCTCTATTTGACACAATGAATTCTGAAAATCCATGCAAGTGCACTACCTCTCTTATTAAAGCAGTAGCCATAGAGATCGCGGTGTAAGGGTGATTCAGAGGAATAAAATGTGCATATTTGCTCAGACGATCCACTACTACCAATATCACCGAAAACCTCCCTGAACGAGGCAACCCTTCGATGAAATTCATCGTCACTTCCTCCCACACCTTTTTTAGCAGAGCTAGAGGCTGTAATAACCTTGCTGGTGTCATGAATAATCCTTTCATTTTTAAGTTTGAATTTGAAAATCTCTTTGACTGTTGCAATTGGTTTTTCATTTTGAATAGTCTTAAAAGTAGATTTACCCCTGTGGGCTCCGAAAATTCAGCCCCGGCCTCGACTCGCTTTTCTTATTCGGCGAGGGAGTTTTAACGAACTAAGTTCCGAGGTAAATTTTGGAAGGCAGATGGGTTTGTAGATAAGACACTACCCAGAGATTTCGCCCTCATTTTGCGAGGACTTTATGATCTGAGTTCTGGTTTCCTATAGGCGCAAGCCCCTATAGTTAATTACCCCTCCCGATCATGAGAGAGAACTTTCGATTAAGGCTAGTCATTAATCAGATATGTAGAATATACATGTTATCTGGCATATAGTAGCAGCGATGGGTTGGATTTGGAATTTGAAAAGTTGAGTTTGGATTTGGGTATGTGAAAAGGTTTGAAAAGTTTGATATTTAGAATAGAAATTTCACCATTGTGCACTTAAAGAGGATGGTGGGGGAATGGATGATAGACCCGATCAAGATCCCATGGTTCCGTCGTCCCGGGCCATCGTGGTCCCTGGTCTACTTAGTCAGAGGAGGTAGTCGACCCAACCAGACAGAAGGATCCTTGTCGGCAGCCATGGGTTGCTTCGTCCAAAGGGACCTTGTAGACCTGGGGTGGATGTTTGTCTAAGGGGACAAATTTGAATCCACCTTAGCTAACAGAGGGCTTTGTGCCCTATCGATCATATCCTATTGATTCATATCTCAAGGATTTGATTCCAATAAGGAACATATTGGCTCTGGCCATAACCG